ACACACACACACACACACACACACACACACACACACACTTCCTCTGAGCTCTAACCCCACACAGTGATGGGGAGTGTATTGCTTGCACGTAGTAAGATACTTTAATACGATATGCAACCCTTTCTGGATTATGTAGTGTTTTTGCCTGTTGTCTAGGAATCCCCTGGTTGAACCAGGCTGGTTCTGAAAGTCATTATGTCATTATTTGTCATGGGACAAATTAGTAGTTTTTTGCCTGTAAGTCAGAAAACAAAGCCATTCAGAGCTCCATCTGTTGATGTGGGGAAACTAGAGGCTGACAGTTTGGTTATACTTCCAAATCAATGTATGTATGAGCTTCAGCTGGAACACGATTGGCCAAAATGTGACTGACAAAGTTTCCGAGGATACTTTTCTTCCACTGTAACAACATCCACTATTAGAATACATTGTAGTGCAATAGCTGTGAATCCAAGCTGAACACAGCCGTCCTTCATAAACAGGAGCAAAGCTACAAACACAGACAGTGATGTGGAACTCACAAACCTTTCAGAAGCAGTTCAAAAAGACCTCTCCCTTTTTTAAATGACTCATACATTTAAAAAACAACAAGAAATAAGTGTCGGGGTGTCGCTATGTTATATCAAAGTGACTAAATGCCCCACACTGAGCATGACGTTAGGAGATTTGCTCCCAATCATCTGACCGCACTGTGTTACTTCCTGCTCTGTCAGGATCCCTGTCAGACCAGACACCTCCCATGGCCACACAGCTGCAGCCACTCCAGCCGATTACCTCCTGCAGGCTGACACACCAGACTCAGGTCCCACTAATGCTTCCCCTGGCACTATATAAACTCTGGTCCTGCAGTCTGGGGTTGTCAGGTCGTACCGTCTTTCACCCGCTTCAACCCCGTTGCAGCTTCTGCCTCAAGCGCCTGCCTCCGGTGTCCGGCGGTCCGGGAATTCCCCGTGCCCTCCTTTGTGTTTACGGACTACTCACCGCCGCTCTGCCCTCCGTGGTGTTAACGGACTACACACCGCTGCTCTGCCTCCGTGGTGTTAACGGACTACACACCGCCACTCTGCCCTCTGTTGTGTTAATGGACTACACACGTCGTCAAGCTGCCAGCTCTCCAGTGTCGAGCCACGGGACATCACGCCGTCGATCTGCCTACTCTCTGGTGTCGGACCACGGGCTCCACACCTTCCTGTCTTTCTTACTCTGGCTAAATAAAGTCTGTTTCACCGTACTCTGTCTCCTGTGGTCTTGCTATTGGGTCCTAACGTGAACTTCCGTGACAGAACGACCTGACCATAATGGACCCAGCAACCACAGGAGCAGCTACGCCGTACAGGCCTAACAGTCTGCTGGAGGAGATGAGAAGTTTCGCTGCTGAAGTTTCTCGGATTAGCTGTTTCGTGCAGGAACTAGCCCGGACAGTCCAGTCTCCTCCAGCACCCGCACTATTCCCTCCTGTCCTCGCTCCGCCGGTCTGGGAATCCCCCGTGCCGGCTCCAGATCCCTATGACGGAACACTGGGGAAGTGCCAGGGCTTCCTGTTGCGATGCCAACGGGTATTTGACCGTCAGCCTCAGACTTTTGACTCAGACGGGTCCAAGGTCTCCTACGTGGTTGCATTACTGTGAGGAAGGGCTTTGGACTGGGCCGCGAGAACATTAAGTGTTGTTCGGCCAAATGCTGTGCTTTTTGTGGACTTTGTGGAGAGTTTTCGATCCTCCGGTGGCCTCCAATTATGTGGAGGCCCCTTCTCAGCCGGAGACGGGGCCAAGAAGGTGTAGCGGAACACTCGGTGGTCCGGCCAACTCCGGCTCCCCCGTATTCGGACGGCATTCCGGCCGACACCATATCTAGCTGCTGCCTCGGAGCCGCAGCGAACTCCGGCTCCAGTTCCTGCCGCCTCCGCGCCGCAGTCAGCTCCAGTTCCTGCCGCCTCCGCACCGCAGTCAGCTCCAGTCCCGGCCACCGCCATCTCCGAACAGCAGCGACCTCCAGTCCCGGCCACCGCCATCTCCGAACAGCAGCGACCTCCAGTCCCGGCCGCCGCCGTCTCCGAACAGCAGCGACCTCCAGTTGCCGCCTCGGAGACGCATTGACCTCCAGTGCCTGCCGCCGCTGGACCAGCATCCTATTCCCCGGAGCCCCGACTCAGAGAGTCCGAGTCCAGCCCGCCGGAGCACCCGTGTCCGGAGCCCTTCTGCCCGCCCCGGCCGTC